TAGGTCTCTTTGGGTTTGCCGTGGTTTCTTTTGCCTTGTGATGTTCAGCAGAGCTGTGCATGGTAATGAGATTGAAGAGATTCTGCAGACGTGACCAAGCATTCTCCATCGAAGTAACTGAACAATAACCACAATAGTCTCTAAACCTATTGTGCATCTGAACTCTTCATTAGAAATTGTTTATGACCAGAAAACTATCAGTATCCTTCTAAAACATTTACCCTTTAGCATTCAACCCACCCTGTAAATCTCAATGTTCAACCCACCATAACCAGCCCCATGTATACGCTGCCATAATATGATGACATCATTGCAAATAATGCAAGAAGTCATGCAAACAGTGAGACTTTGAGAGCAGATATTTACAGGGTGGGTTTGAGTATGTTGAATATTAAAGGGTTTAGTCTGAAACATTTCCAGCTTTTGTTCTACAGCAGCAGTCATCTTCCAGCACTCTGAAGTACACTTGAGAAATTGCTCTTGAATATCCGGATCTTGATATGAATGCATTCACACCATGATCTGAATAAATATAGACAGTAATTAAATTGAAATACTATTACAATGAGTTGTAGTTTTTGATAACTTGTAATTTTTGTTCAGCTTTGTCATATGCACTAATAGTTTGGGGTATTGTCTTAAAGTATTTCAATCATGGAAAATATTTCACTTCAGCAAGAAACTGAATTTGGTTTGGCTTTTAACTTAGAGAAGATACTCTGCTTTATTGTCTATTGATTTGTAATTAGAAAAAAAAATTGGTTTTCTTTTTTTCTTCTTTTCTTGTTTTTTCTTTCTTTGTTATTCTTTTTCTTTCTTCTTTTTCTTTTTTCTTCTTTTTCTTTTTTCTTCTTTTTCTTTTTTCTTCTTTTTCTTTTTTCTTCTTTTCTTTTTTTCTTTTTTCTTTTTCTTTTTTCTTTTTCTTCTTTTTTCTTTTTCTTCTTTTTTCTTTTTTCTTCTTTTTTTTTTTTCTTCTTTTTTTTTTTTCTTTTTTTTTTTTTCTTTTTTTTTCTTTTTTTTCTTTTTTTTCTTTTTTTTTTTTTTTTTTTTTTTTTCTTTCTTCTTTTTTTCTTTCTTTTTCTTCTTTTTTTCTTTCTTCTTTTTCTTTTCTTTTTTCTTTCTTTTTTTTTTCTTTTTTTTCTTCTTTTTTCTTTCTTCTTTTTCTTTCTTCTTTTTCTTTCTTCTTTTTTTCTTTCTTCTTTTTCTTTTTTTTTCTTTTCTTTTTCTTTTTTCTTTTTCTTTTCTTTTTTTTTTTTCTTCTTTTTTTTTTCTTTTTCTTTTTTTCTTTTTTTTTCTTTTTTTTCTTCTTTCTTTTTTTCTTTCTTTTCTTTTCTTTCTTTTTTTTTCTTCTTCTTTTTTTTTCTTTTTTTTTCTTTCTTCTTTTTTCTTCTTTCTTCTCTTTCTTTTTTCTTTCTTCTCTTTCTTTTTTCTTTCTTCTCTTTCTTTTTTCTTTCTTCTCTTTCTTTTTTCTTTCTTCTCTTTCTTTTTTCTTTTTTCAACCATATTTTAAAACATTTTTTAACCTTCTCAACCTTTCTGTACACCAGCAAATCTTGGACATTTAACAAAATTATGGTGAAAAATCTAACCATTAGAAATGAGATGCTACAGAACCATCATAGGCATTTATGAAGACTATACCATAAATGATGCAATGTGAGGCAAGAACCAGGCCCATTGGAAGATCTTATGCCAAGAAGAGAAAGTTGAAATGCTATGGACATTTCATAAGAGCCAGCAGTTTATCCACTGCCAGCCTACAAGGTACCACCTTCAACAAAATAAAAGATAGGAAAAAATGGGCTGACAACATCACTGAGTTCATTGGAAGATCATTCATAAAGACATTACATTGGCATGCAACCTAGACACATGGAGAGAGCAGCTGATGCTCAGCTCCACAGTGACCCTACAACCACACTTGGTCATGGAGATCATGATAATCATTGGTTCAGATATGATGCAGAAGTAATAATTTGAAATTTATTAATAGATGGAGATTTGAAATTTCACTAGTATTTCTTTCATTTTAAATTTACTTGCATTTCATTGCAACTATTCAATGACAACAACCTGAACCAAAAGCAAAGAATAATTGTTCTTCACTTTTAATCCTTATTTTGGCAGGACTCAAACAATTTTTCCTTGGGAAGTCAACTTCACCATGATAACTACTCTATCACTTGAACTTGTGTTATTAGTGCAGAATTTATTTGAAAAATTATTGCTAATTATTATTGATATTAAATTGGGAAAACTGAAAAATATAGCCTGGACATGGTCTCGGTGCTGAGTAAGGCTATTACTGATTGTCATTTGTGAATCTGAGTTTGTATGTTTGTTTTAGTCGCTATGCACATTTTCTTCTTTTTTCTTATCAAATGAGAGGAGACTGATTTAGATGTTTTTAATCATTATTATATTTCAGTATTACCATTTTATGGTAATATAAACATTTTTGTTACCCTTCTTTGTTATGAATCATTTCTTTTTTGTTAAGAAATGCTTTTAAATATAACTGATTCTATTACTCTTATAAAACTGAAAAAAATTAAAGCTTTGCACTGCTTTGTTTTTGTCTTTTTTTACTGAAAATTAAACTAGAAAATTTGAAGTTGTTTAATTTAGTTTTGAGTTAGAATTAGGACAATTCCAGAATGCTCTCTTTGATTTTACTCATTTTGTTTGCAACCCTTTAAAAAAAATTTTCTGTCTCAAAGATTATATTAACAGACATGAACTATTATAATTTAATAAATTGCTGAGTTAATGTAAATTACTTCTCACTTTCTCAAGAAAAATGACTAAGTTCCTTTGATTGCATTGGCTGTTTTTTTTTTCTTAGATTACAGCATAAACATTTATGAATATGTAATTTGTGTCTTTATTTTTGGAATTGTCATAATCACTGATGGCAAGGAAAAAAGCAAAAGAAACTGAATTTGAATTTTTGTGACTTGGAATCTAGATTTTTCTAATAAAATTTGTTTGTAATAAGATTTAAAATTTTAATGAAGATTAAATTTCTCTTGGAAGAAACCTGTAATTATCAGTATATAGTGAATTTTCTTGACCTTGATCTTAGCTCAAAATTACAGTTTAGGTACAATAATATACAGTATAATAAAGTGGGTATATTATGATTAATGCTAACCAAAACACTTTATGGAAAGATAAATTTTATTTAAGGAGTAATATTTAACATTTCTAAGAGCCCTGAAATTTCTTAAAATTATTTTTGTAATTGATCACTGAGTATTATAAAGCTTTTTGTGATCTAACAACTGAACCCTACCTTAATTCTTTTAAAAGTATAACTTTTTATCTCCTATCAATAGATTGTTTTATCTGCTGCAGGTAAGTACCTGATCCCTCCCATTTTAATGGTGAAATCTAAGAATTAGAACTATATATATATATATATATATATATATATATATATATATATATATTTCTATGATTTAAAGTTTCATATGGATTCCCAGTTTGTTATATGTCTGTTTCACAACCTTCAGGCAGTTCAATGGCTGGGATACTCAGTTCTATATTTATCTAAATATATCTGCATGAAACCCTATATTGCAGAAAAGCAACAATATTTGGATATTGTTTTTTTAATATTTCTTATATTGGCTCTGTTTATATATGATGTAATGGAATAACCTGTCACCTCCATGAGTGACTACACTATAGGTAACAACTACCTATAAGTACCTGTACAGAGTCTATCTGGGATCTGTTGAGTACAACTCGGACTTACACAAGAACTACCAACTTTCCAATAGTAGCACTCACTACTGTATTGACTTCACACACACACACACACACAGGGTGATTAAAAGTAACTTCTTACTCTATGTATGAGTGGCCAGCCAAGAGTCCTGACTTAACAGCCTGTGACTTTTTTCTTTGTGGTTGGTTAAAGGAGCAATTCTATTATACCAAACCAAGACTTTGGAGTAACTTGAAGGGCGAATTCAAGAAGTTATGTCTTCCATGCCACAAGAGTTCCTAGTGAAATCAGTTAACATGATTCCTGGGCAGCCCAGGAAGCCAGTATCAAAATCTGGTGCCCATATCAAATTTTAAATAAAAACTCATGCTCAGCGCTTTCCTCTCATATCCATTTCTTGAAAGAATTATAGTTAATAAATAAATTATAAGTATTTTAAAATGGGGAGTTACTTTTTAATCACCCTTCAAGTTATAGCCTCTGTCTGTCTGTTTGTTTGTTATTGAACTCCTCTTAGAGTTTTGGAGATAGACCTCCATAACTATATATATTCTGAAACTACATTACCCAGTGCACTTGGATAAGTATATTCAATTTTGATCAAGGAAGGAGGGGGAGAACCTCCTCCCAACACACACACACACTGAAAATATTTTTTTTTTTTTTTTAAATTTAAACAAGGGAATGACTCCTATCCATAATATAGGAGGAGAAAGTCAGAAGATGGAGGTCACATCAGCAAGAACAAAATGAGATAATATGGACATCAAGTTGAGCCAGAAATTACTAATCCGTGGGTAGTGCCTTACAATAAATATTTGTTGTGACAATTCAACTGTCATAACAATGTTGAAATCTGCTCATAAATTCATTCAATCAAGGATTGCATCAAGTACATATCAAAAGGATTAGATCAAACTGTTTTTTGCACACACATCCTCCATTGAAAATTTCTAAAACATCATTTACTCTCTTTTGTTTATTAGACATTGAAAAGTTTTACCATAGCATACGTTCTGTTTCAGTTAACCTGATGCATCTTTATAAGCATTCCTAAACTCAAAAATTTCATAAAACCAATAAATTTTTTGCTCTTTTATATAAATACTTGTTACTAAATAAAATTCTTTGCCTTGATAAAGTTCCACAAAGGACGAAATGTCCACTAAGTTTTCCTTTTGCCATTATTCAAACACACACACACACACACACACACACAAGGTATGTCCAATGGTTTTCTATGTAAAATTAACACCCTGTTCTGAAAATGTTAAAAGATTTTAAAACTTTTCTTTCAATTTCTTTTTTTTCTTTTCCTGTTTTTTTTCTTTTCCTGTTTTTTTTCTTTTCCTGTTTTTTTTCTGTTTTTCCTTTTCTGTTTTTCCTTTTCTGTTTTTCCTTTTCTGTTTTTCCTTTTCTGTTTTTCCTTTTCTGTTAAAAAAACCCTTCCACCAAATTATGACATTCACTTTTTGACAGTCTAATTCTATCTTTAGTTTAAATATCAATATTTTATTCTACACTGTGAGCACATTTGAAGTCGGATCCTGCACTGGTGAGGTCTTATTGCATTTATGGAATTTTATTTTCGATCTAATCCTTTCAAACCCACAACTACCAAAGAAGATATTTGATTAGGTTTGTCCATCACTAAAGATAACTACTGAATGCCTTATAGAAAGAAGAAATAGAAACTCTCAGTCTTTGATTGTATGCACTGTAGTTTACCAATTCAAATTAGCTTCATCACTTCCATCCTTGACAACCCTAAATAAAACAAGACTTACAAAAAAAAGTAATGGAAGAAAGATGGGAAGCACTTAAAATAATTATTTCCTCCTCCAGAAAGTATGTTAAAGTAAATGCATGTAGAATTTTTTTCTTTGTCTCAAGTGAAATCTTGAAAATTTTATGTAAAGAACAATGATGTTGTCTAATGAATTTTTTAGTTCATCATTATGAACTAAAAATATTCATTAATTATTTAAAAAAAAAAATATCCCATATCCCACCAAGATTCATGACTCTACAGACGTTTATTATTTGTGAATCATGATATGTTTTTTGCAAAAGATGGTGAATTGGTTTCCTGTTCCCTTCTCCATGATTTGGAATACACATTTCCTTCTCTTCAACTTGTTGCTATCAAAGTCTAGAGAGCTCAATCTCCCTTGCTAATTAACTGGATGTTCAGGTCATGAATGAGAAATCAGAGAGCCAAGTTTGAATTCCAGTTGGGTTCATTATATTCTCTTACATACCAATACCCTTGGGAATAGTATGAATCTATCCCCGAAACCTGGCCAGCTGAACCTGGAAGAATCATTATTATTCTCAATAACGTTATTGTAAAAATAATACTTTTTTTTTTTTTTTTTTTTCTTTAACAATATTTTACAAAAAAAATCATATAATCCAAAATATGTTTTGGCTTTAAATAATCTACAGAGAGTAAGCCATGAAAAATAATCAATCAATTGCTGTTTAACTTACAGCTTGATGGGGAGAAGAGACAAGCTTGTGCTTTTCCTAAGGGCATTTGTGTAAAAGTGGACATAATACACTAGCACAGGATTTGAACTCAGCCTGTTGATTACATTTTTTGCACTGATATCCATTAAACTATTTGTGTATCTAAGAGATAACATAAATAAGAGATATAAGTAAAAACAGATGTTTACACAATCAAATATGAAATGTTGCTAAAAACTTTAGGCAACTAAAAGCATAAAATGGCTTCCTCAAGGGTCTGGGAGGGAAAGTAATATTTAAAGAGTTTCTTTATTTCCTAATGATTTTGTGAGTTGTGTAAGATGTCTTTGGAGATATCAAGGAGTACTGGGTAAATTGTCAGATAAACAGATTCATCTCTGATGATTACCAAACTTTAAGAAAGCACTTTCATATACACAAAAACAATATCCTTACCTGCATAAATTTACTGTACAATAGTGAATCCAATATCAAGATGCACTATAGGCCAACAATTTAGGGTTACCCTTTGGATTTCAAAGAAATGCCTAAAAGTTGAAAACTGCATGCCTTTTTCAAAACTAATTTACTTTCTCACTTTGAGCCAGATGTACTGTTTCTTCCTTAAGGATTTTGTCATATATAACAACAACAATAAAAATTAACCCATTATTGTATAAAATTTCCTTAAAGTTTTAGCTCTTTTTGCTTAATTTACCTTGCTGGCTAATGGTAATCTTAAGGCTGGCAGATTTTAAATTTTAGGTAACTCATTTAAAAAAAAAATTGGATGCCATGTACTAATGGCTTAAATAGTTTCAGTATCCTAGCTTAGTAGAAGTTAGTTAAACCAAAGAAAGTATGAAACTTAGTAATTATTAAATCCACAAAGTGGACCTATACTTTTGGCCTATAGTGTATATATTGTAAACATAAAATTGAAGATTTTATGGCTTTTTCCAAATTAATTTACCAGTTCACTTTAGGTCAGAATGGGTTTTATCAGATATTCAATAATAATAATAATAAGAAGAATAAAAATCAACCCATTACTTCATAAAGTTTCCTTTAAGTTTTAGCTCTTTTTACCTAATCTTACCTTGCAGGCTAATGGTAATCTTAAGACTGTCAGATTTTAAATTTTAGGTAACCCCTTCTTTAAAAAATTGGATGCATGAACTCATAGGTTAAATAGTTTAAACATCCTGGCTTAGTAAGAGTTGAAAAAACCAAAGAAGGTATGAAACTAATTATTAAGTCCAGAGAGTGGTCCCAAACCTTTGGCCTATAATGTACTTGCATGTTTTTATATCAGTACTGTTGTTTTATGAAAAGGAAGACTTTTGGACATACTGTTAACCAATAGAGACTAGTTATATTGCAGTCTCAGTTTTTTTTCCATCAGCTCTTTTACTGCCAGATTTCCTCAATTGCCATTTAAAGTTGTTGTCCCTTCGAAATCACTATCTGTATTTACCCTTTTATTCTTGGAGACATGTCAGTTGTATTGATTAAGCTTCAACCATTAAAGTGCTGCACTATAGGGATTTCTCTATCTTAGTTTTTCCTTTTGAAAGAAAAAACAAAAAAAAATTACATCAACTTGAGCTAGAATTATTTTTTTTTCCTTAAGTTATTTAACACTTTTTAGAATGTGAATCATGCAATCCAATTCAATGTTAAGATATTTTTGAAATAGTGTGTTTATATAATGTTGAAGTTGTTGTGATAGAAATGTGTTGAGTCATTGCACAATAAATACATGTGAGATTTGAATTATGATGTAAAGAATGAAAAAGCAAAATTCTCTTTGTGATTTACAACTCTTTTTTTTTTTTCTTTTTGCTTTTCTGAAGAGAAATTAGGTTTTTTGGGTTTTTTTTTTTTTTGGGCATTAACTTATTTTTCTTTTTCATCTCTTTCTACATGAAGTAGGATTTGTGTACACACTTGTTCATGTAAATTAGGTTTTTATATGTGTGCATGGATAGTTATAAGAATGAGATGCATGTCATTTTATTAAGCAGCTCTGTGTTTTCCAGCAAAACTTATCAATTAAAAATGTTTGTAAAATCTTAAGACGCAGATAACATTTATGAGAAATACCATTTTAATTTTCAGCTTTTAATATTTCTCCTTATTAAAAATGTTATGTTGTTTTGAGAGTATCAATTTTTATTAAGCTAATGAAGTTCAACATAAAATCTATCCAAGAAGCTATAAACCATATAAACACAATATCTCATTTATCTGAATAAATTTATTCTATATTTTAATATGATCTCTTCTTTTTTTTTTTTATTTGTGTCAGGTTTTATTATACAGAAATTGCAACGATATCTTTTTTATAAATACCATATATACTTGGGTATCATCCAACTGCTGAAGATTTAATTTTGAAGTTAATTTTGAGTGGGTAGCATCATACATGAGATATAAACTTAGTGTATGTACTGCTGGCCGTGGCTATGCCATTGACCAAACTATATATCCATTTGCTGTAGTCAAATTAGCTTCAAAATTAGATCTTCAAAGATCACATGATATGCGAGTATATACAATAAATCCAAAAGATCTAGGCCACAGAAACATATTTGATTAAATACATTATCCAATATATCTGAATAAATTATTTTATATTTTAATATAATATTCTTGACATTCTATAACTTTCATCAATTGTTTACCCATTGATTTTAACTTTTACAAGTTGCTTAGAGATCTTACATGACATCTTATTTGCTGAATATTAGTTTCTGTTTTCATATACATCTCTTTTAATGGTGGACTCCAAATTTTCTATTGGATTAATATCTGAAGAAGTTGGAGATCATTCCATTGATTTTTGTATCTCAAACCTTTCAAATTTACAGAATGTGAAGAACTATCTCTTGATTGTGATCTAAAACCACAAAAACATGTCCTAAAGCTTAAAATAATTCTCTGTATTTATCTTGATGTCATCATTAACTTTGAAGTAACCTATGACCTTAAAATACTATTCACCTTTCTACTTTTGTATCTATTGACTATTTCTATGAAGGATCTGGTTTATGGCCATATCACATTGAAACACTGGTTCTTGTATAATCAATGAAGTTAAGTAATGTCAAGCCTGGTCAGTACCTAGAAGAGTAACTGCTTAGGAATATCAGGTGCTGTAAGTTTAGATGTGTGAGTGGTGTAATGGATAAAAACTCTGAATTGGAAATTTGAGAGCAGAGTTCCAATTCCAGTCAGGTTCATTATATTCACTTATGCACTGCGCAAATACCCTGGGGAAGGATATGAATCCACATCTTCTACCCCAGCTATGGGTTAATGTATCAGTAAATTATTATCTTCAAAAAATTCTTACACTCTAAAAATATTTTCTGGTCTTTAAATAATCTGCAAAAGTTGATAAGCTGTAAAAAAAAAAAATCAATCAATTACTCTATGAAGAACCCAGCTCTTTTATGAGTTCTATTCAGTGAAGCTCTATATTCATCAATAAAAATTAGGCATTTCTCTATTGTCTTCACTTACTGGTTTGGTTATTTTCATATCTTTAGCTAATGCTATTAAAATTCTGCATCTTTGCTTACATTCATAAGACTAGCCTTCTCAAATATTCTCTTGCTGGTCAATCCACTTTTCTTGCTTATTACTCTTATCTTTTTTCCAAATCTCTTTTCGTAGCATTTTTAAAGGCAATTTTTTTCTCTCGTTGTATTGCCAATGTTTTCAACTTCTCTTTTGATTGTTTTACTCTCTCTTTAACTTTTTTTTTAAAAAGTTTCTAATGTAATCACATGACACAATAACATTTACAATCTTGTTTTTCCCTTTATTTATGACCCATGGCAATCTTTATATATCTGAAATTAAATATCAGTAACTATATATAGATATATATGTATAAACAACCCTTGAGGTTTATAAAATGTAAATATTTCTAATAAAAACTGATATGAAGAGC